ATAGGAAGAGTAGACACTGACTTAAAGTATATTGTTAGTGAGGTGCACACATATGGAACACATTTAGCCAAGGCAACTCACAGCTACAGGGCATGGACATTCTTTCTGTTCTGTATAATCCTGACATAACTTCTCCCCAGGCACAATGTCTATGAGGCAGCTAAGTTATGCAATGGCTAATGCACAGGGCCTGGAGTCGGGAAATCTGGTCTCAAACACATTATAAACTTTGAGACCTTAGGCAAGTCACTTAACCTCTGTTTGCCTCAGTTTCCTCATCTGTAAAATGGAGTTAATAATAGCACCTACTGACCTACACGTACCAAAAGTATTTGTAGCAGCTCTTCTTGTGGTGGTAAAGAATTAGAATCTGAGAGGATGCCCATCAATTGGGGAATGGCTGAACAAGCTGTGGCATATGCATAAAATGGAATACTATTGTGCTATAAGAAATGATGAGCAGATGGATTTCAGAAAAACCTGGAAAGATTTACATGAACTGATGCTGAGTGAAGTGAGCAGAACCAGGAGAACATTTTACACAGTAGCAGCAACATTGTGTGATGATCAACTAGGACTGACTTAACCCTTCTCAGCAATACAATGATCCAAGACAGTTCCAAAAGACTCATAATGGAAAATGCTATCCACATCCAGAGAAAGAACTGATGGAGTCTGAATGTACATTGAAGGATAATATTTTCACTTTATTTTTTCGTAGTTTTTTTTCCTTTTGTTCTGTTTCTTCTTTCACAACATGACTAATATGGAAATGTTATACATGATGACATATATGTAAATATATATATATATATATATATATATAGCCTACATCAAGTTGCTTGCCATCTTAGGGAAGAGGGAGTGGAGGAAGGGAGGGAGAAAATTTGGAATTCAAAATTTTATTTAAAAAAAAGAATATTAAAAGTTGCCTTTACATATAATTGGAAAAAATTAAATACCACTTAAAAGAAAAACTATATAAGAAGTACTTCTACACATCAAAGTATAATAATAGCACCTACCTCCCAGGGTTGTTGTGAGGATCAAATGAGATTGCTTTAAAGCCCTTAGTGCAGTACTTGGCACAAAGTAAGCATTATATAAATGTCAGCTATTTCATGTTTGGGGGGGTGGGGCAAGTTGCTTAGCTGGCAACTTCCAGGGTCTGCCCTTCTCCAAAGCTTGACTTTCAAATGTTAGGTCCAGCTCTCTTTTCTGCTGTCAGGATACCCACTCCTCAAAGTGCTTCTTCCCTTGAGTCTTTATCTGTGTCTTTCTGGAGTGTCTGTCTCTGCCCCTGACCTGCCTTGAACTCTCAAACCACTGATCTCTCAAACTGCTATGTGTCTCTGAACTGAGTGTCTCCCTGTAGTCCAACTGCTGTTAAATACAGTGTCCTACAGCAGGGAATCTCTTCCACAAAGTAGTCCCTGGCTTGTACTCTATCAAACTTCTAAATTCTTCTAGGGGTTAGCTGATTAAATTCCTGCAAATGCATATCCAATTTTCTCTTATCCAAAGAAGTTGTTCTCTTTAATTTATTCAAGGGGTCTATTTGCTTATTTGCCTATTTCCTCTGGCATGCCCACAATTTTGGGACTTCATCATTGGCCCCTTTTCTGTGACTAGGGCTTGAAAGCTTTCAAAACTAATTCCTTTGCTGTTGTTCAGTCATATCCTACTCTTTGTGACCCCATTTAGGATTTTCTTAGCATATACTGGAGTGGTTTGTCATTTCCTTTCCCAGCTCATTTTTCCCAGATGAGGAAACTGAGGCAAATAGGGTGAGGTGACTTGCTCAGAGTCACACAGCCAGTAAGTGTCTGAGGTCAGATTTGAACTCAGGAAAATGAGTCTTCCTGACTCCAGACCTGGCATTCTATCCACTGAGCCACCTAGCTGCTCCTAGATTACATAGATACAAAACCACTTTGCTCTAAAACGAAACAAATCCCTGCAATCAAACAGATAGGAGGAGAGCAGTCATGAACACAAATAACTATGTTCCAAGGGAGATAAATGTAAAGGTTATTCTCAAAATATTATAAGATATTTGAGGGGGCAGCTAAGTGGCCCAGCAGACAGAGCTCTGGCCATGAGTTCAAACGACCTCAGACACTTGACACTTACTAGCTGTGTAACCCTGGGCAAGTCACTTAACCCTGATTGCCTCACCAAAAAGCAAAAAAAAAAAAAAAAATTGAGGAGAAAAAGATCATTTTCACCAGAGGGGAGTGACATCTGAGGTGGATTTTGAAAGAAGGAAAGAATTTTCAAAAAAATGGAGATTAGGAAAATCATTCCAGGCATGGGGGAGGGGGGTGGATTATGTGAGCAATGATATGGACACAGGAAAAGGCAGAGAAAAAAAAAACAGAGGGTAAAGAGTAATCCAGTTTGGCTGAAACATAACATGTAAAGGAAAAAAGCCCAAAAAAAGCCTAGAGTAGTTACACAATGCAGGCATTTGTTTTGCTTGACTGTGCATATTTGATACAAGGAGTTTTTCTTCCCTTTTTTTATGAGGGGAGGCAAGACAAAGAGAAAATAAATGTTAGTTAATTTAAAAAAATAAAAGTTACATAAAAAAAGAAAGGTAAATTGGACTCAGATTGCTTGCATACAAAGATCATTCATTCATATGTTGCTCCGTGATCAATGGAAAGCCACTGGAGGTTTTTGAGTAGACAACATGATCAGAGATTGATGCATTCCGAAGATTATTCAGATAACACTGTGAGGAATAGGATGGAGACGGCATAGACTGGAAGCCCAAAATCCAGTTGGGAGGCTATTACAATAATCTAGGTAGAAAAAAAGTGGATAGACCAGTGCCCTGGAATCAGGAGGACCTGAGTTCAAATGTGATCTCAGACCAGACACTTGACAATTACTAGCTGTGTGACTCTGGGCAAGTCACTTAACCCCAATTGCCTCACCAAAAAAAAAAAAAAGATATGGTTGTTTGCAGTAGAAGAAATGAGGTGATTGATGTGTGAGAGATACTGTGGATGTAGTCCCTACAGAGCATGACAATTGTTTGGATGCATGGGGTAACAAAGGAGAGAAGAGTCACAGATCACCTTGAAGTTCTGATCCTTGGAGACTTTGCTATCTGCACAAACACAGTCTCAATTTTTGGCTCATGCTGCCCCTTGTACTTGACACATCCTCCCTCTCTGACTTCATCTGTTGAATTCCTATCGTCATTTAAGGCCTATACAAATGCCCCTTGTACTTGGAAGCCTTCCTTGATCCTCTTGACTGATGATGACCTTCCCCCTCAACCTCATAAAGTATTTTATTTTTGAACCTTTCTAATATACTTATCATATATTATTCAATTCAATTCATTCAACAAACATTTATTAAGCCCTTACTATGGATTAGGTATTGTGCTGAGGATACAAAGGCAAAAATAGAAACAATTTCTTGGAACACTAACGCATTGTTGATGGAGTTGTGAAATGATCCAACCGTTTTGGAGAGCAATTTGGAACTACACCCAAAGGGCTATAAAAATGTGCATACACAGCTAGGTGGTACAGTGCATAGAGCACCAACCCTGGAGTCAGAAGGACCTGAGTTCAAATCCAACCTCTGACACGTGACACTTGCTAGCTGTGTGACCCTGGGCAAGTCACTTAACCCCAATTGCCTCACCAAAAAAAGCATAATAAAAAAAAGTGCATATACTTTGACCCAGCAATAGCGCTTCTAGGGCTGTATCCCAAAGAAATCATACAAGTGGGAAAAGGACCCACCCGTACAAAAGTATTTGTAGCAGCTCTTTCTGTGGTGGCAAAGAATTGGAAATTGAGAGGATGCTCATCAATTGAGGAATGGCTGAACAAGTTGTGGTATATGAATGTAATGGAATACTATTGTGCTACAAGAAATGATGAGCAGGCAGACTTCAGAAAAACCTGGAAAGACTTGTATGGTCTGATGCAGAGTGAAGTGAGCAGAACCAGGAGAACCTTGTACACAGTAACAGCCACATTGTGCAATGACTAACTTTGATAGACTTAGCCCTTCTCAGCAATACAACGACCTAAGACATCTCCAAAGGTCTCATGATGGAAAATACTCTCCACATCCAAAGAAAGAACTATGGAGTTTAAATGCAGATCAAAGCATACTATTTGCTCTTTTTTTCTTCAGTTTTGTTTTGTTTTTTCTTTCTTGTGGTTCCTCCTATTGGTTCTAATTCTTCTTTACAACATCACTAATGTGAAAATATGTTTAATAGGAATGTGTATGTAGAACCTGTATCATATTGTGCGCTGTCTTGGGGAGGATGGTGGGGAGGAAGAGGGAAAAAAATTGAAAACTCAAAAGCTTATGGAAGTGACTGCTGATAAATTAAAATAAATTAATTTAAAAAAATAAAAACAATTTCAGTCTCCTTCAGTGTATGTGTCGGTCTAAAAAATGGGATATTCACGGCCGCCTGGTCTGCTCCTAGCCGGCATGAAAACAAGCAGTAGAAGCTCCGAGAAGGTAAGTCCCATCCCAAAGATACCGGCTCGAGGGGGTTAACATCCAATGAGGATGGGGCGGGGAAGAAGCTAGCCAATAAGCAGCGAGTTCTCCTTTCTCTCCGCCTCTCGCCCTCTGTATCTCTTTGTCTCGGTCTCTCTGTCTCTCTCCCTCCCTCGGTCCTCTTTCGTACTTCAGGAGAGCCAATGGGGTAAAAGATCTACTCCTCCCAATAGCAGAACCTTACGGGGCTGAAAGACCCGCCCCCTCTTAACAGTTCCTACCCTGCCCCTAATAAGCCACTTAATGGTGTGAAAGGTAACAGACCCTAAGGGGTTTAAAGTTCCGCCCCACCCTGCGACGGAGCCAATGGAAAGCAAAGATACTGTACAGCTCCTGGGGGCGGAGCAATGGGTCCTAGAGACAGAGCCAATGAAATTAAATGATCCGCAGACAGGCTAGTAGAGCAACCAATGGAAGGAAAGGTTTATTTCGCTTCCGGTGCCGGGTCCGGAGGCGCTTCGAACCGGCCGTGGCTCCGCCGCTGCTATGGCGGCTGCACTGGCCTTAGCTGCCCTTCGAGTGACGCGACGTGTGACGGGGGCTGCCGCGCGGCTGCAGGTGAGGAGGGGCTGTGAGGTACGCCACCTGCCTTTGGGCCGGACTCCCCCGGCGCCCCTTCTCTCCCCGGCTTGAGCTGCGCGAGCCTCGGGCTTATCCGCGCCTTCCTACGCCCCTCTGCCCCACGAGGCCCGACTCGGGACCTCGGCGCCTCCCGGCTAAGCAGCTGGCTGTCGCCGACCTTGGTGGCCTATTTGTGCCAGCTTAGCTTGCTAGTTGTTGCCCACGCGTGGAGGGCCGTCTCCTATCTCGGTGCTTTTGCGTGGGTCGCCCTGTATGACTGGAATAAGCTCGCCACTTCATGTAATCCCTAGTCTTTTTCAAAAGGCCAGGTGCCACCTGAGAGAACATGTAAAGCGCTTTGCAAATCTTAAAGCGCTATACACGAGCCAGCTATTACTGCTGTTCTCCTCATGAAGGCTTTTCCTGATTCCCTCCCCTACTTAGTGTTCTCTGCCTCTTAAAATTACTTCGTATTATGTCATCAGTGTTCACTTTGTATCTTCTCTTCCTCTCCACGCCCCACAAGAATATAAGAGGGGAGTGGAGAGGGGGCATTATTATCTTTGTGGGATCATAGAACTAAAGCTAGAAGGAATGATTAATAAATGTTCTTTGTACAGCTCAAGGTCACATGGTTAAGTAAGAAATTTCAAGGCTAGAGCCAGGCCTCTTCACTTTATAGTATACTGGTATACAATTAACAGGTCACAGATTTAATTATCTTCTAGACAGAAAATAGGAACTTACAAAGAATTTTGTGAATTCAAATACTCGTCAGTTAACTTTTTCATTTTTTTATTCATAATCACCAAATTAATGTGTTATGCACAGTCTTTTCTTTTAAAAAAAAAAGGCAACTTAATCCACTAAGCATTCATTAGGGCCCACTATCAGCAGGCACTGGAGATAAAAAGATTAGTTAGACCGGATATTGTATTGGGTCATGCCTATGAGTAATAACATTAATAGTTTACATTTACATAGCAATTTACTGCTACAAACCTGCTTTACATTTAATCAATTCCTCAGTACAATTTTTTGAGAATGATAGAGCAAATTTACAGCTACAAACCTGCTTTACATTTAATTAATTCCTCAATACAATTTTTTGAGAATGATAGAGCAAGAATTATCATTCCCATTTTACAGATGTGAAAACATTCAGAATAGTTAAATGATTCACCCGTGAATACCCAACCAGTCTTTTCCATCTAGTACATTTCCCATGATACTACCCTGCCTATAATAAACCATAACAAATGACAAGTTTCTGAGGGTTGATTTTTTCCATGTATGCAGTTCAAGAAGTATTTATTTGCTGAACCTCTACAGTCTGTTATCTCCAACAAACTTTAAAGTGAATTTTTTCTAACGTGTGAACTATCCCAAATTTGTAGCCTCTTGTTAGTTTCTTGTTTATACCCAGTAAGGACTTCTAAGGGGAGGGTGCTGAAGGGGATACAAATTAATTTTATTGTTTTTTCTAAGTACAACATTTTAAAAAACTAAGCTGTTAAACTTAATATAAAACACACAAAAGAAAAATGAAGTTTGGATTATCTCAGAAATGCTATCCAATTCTCTGATTTTTGATTCAGAGCTGTAATAGACCCATGGAGAGAGATGAGAGAGGATTACTCAGCGAAGTTCCTTAACTCCTATCTTTTATAGAAGGGAGGAAGACCTATGTTTCGGAGAGACTGTCCCTGACGATTGCTAGTATCCATCCTTCAGAAGTGCTTACATAAGGGCTTGAGTCAGTTCCTGCTGTCCACAGACAACTTGTTTCAATGCGGCCCATTGGGAGCCCAGTGAAAACAGAAAATGAAAAATGGCCACAGGAAAGGATTGCTCCATTCTACCGTTGGGAAATAATTGTTGCCTGGGGCACATGGAAGAACTGAGATGAACTTTATCCTCTGTGATGAAAGTAATTAGATATACTACTGAACACAAAAGTTTAATAAATATTTACTAAATACCTACTATAAACTAAGCAAAGGGCTCTGGACTGAAGGAAACTCAAAGATAAATAAGACATTCCTCCTCTCAAGGAGCTGATAGCCTAATAGGAAGATAGGACAAAATAATTGAAGTATAAAATGGAGTAGAACAATTACATAAACACAAGCTCCTGTCAGCATTCATCCAAGGGAAGAAAGAAATATTTTTGGCTTAGGGGAAGGGGCTTAACATTTGAGCTGAACCTTGAAGGATGATTGGTATTTCAGTAAGCAGAAATGGAAAGTTCATTCTGGCATAGGAAATTGTGTGAGCATAGATGCAGAGGTGGTATGCACAGGATATATTTGTTGAGTAGTCTGATTTGAAGCATAGAATATGGAATGGGAGTCTCAGAGGCAGATAAGGCTGGGAAGTTAGCTTGTTCCCACATTATGCGTATATAGCAGCCTAAGAACTTTGGGCTGTGTTCAGTAGTTGAGGGAGCCATTAAGACTTTTGAGTAGACAGTGGTACAATCAGACCTGTGCATTATGAAAATAAACTTGTCAGTGGATTTGAGGAGGTTGTGACTTGAAGTTGAAAGACTGATTAGGGGACTCATACAAGTGTAGGTAATTAGGCCTTAAAGTAGTTTTAGTGGGAATAAAACAAAGGGGATAGTTTTAAAAGATGCTACTGAAGATAAATCCAGAGTATTTAGGAGCTACTTGATAACTGATTAAGTATGTTAGTGAGGGAAAGAGAAAATGCCAAGAGGGTGCAGTTTTGAGCCTTGGATGAAATTGAAGATGACGGGAAATAGTTTGGGAGCAAAGTGATCATTTGGATTGGAATACATTGAACCTAAGTACTGGTAGGACAGAAGTGTAGAGAAATCTATTAGGCAGTCAGAAATCCTGGTCTGAAGCTAGGGGACAAAACAGTTATCCCTCATTCAGAATGGTATTTTGGTTCACCCACAAGTTGACCTGATAGAACAAACAGAATGATGTTTTAATATTTTATATCAAAGTACCATATCAGTGCTCAAGAACTATAAAATCAGGCTTATTAAAAATATCAGTGGTGTCATTTTAGGTATGACAAACATCTTGGAATTCAAGATCTACCACAATCTGGACATATCTTCCCTTAACCAACCTTATCAACCTTTTTGCCTTCCTACATGCACCACCTCCCCTCAGTCCTAGCCAGGCTAATCTATTTATTGTTCCCCAAATAAGCCTTGTATGTGGATTTTTTTTTCTGGGAGAGGCCATCAGGGTTAAGTGACTTGCCCAAAGTCACATGGCTAGTAAGTACCAAGAGAGATGATAGAGGGTTACTCTGCACAGTTCCTTAACTCCTGTCTTTTATAGAAGGGAGGAAGGGAGGGTCACTATGTTTCGGAGAGACCGTCCCTGACGATTGCTAGTATCCATCCTTCAGAAGTGCTTACATAAGGGCTTGAGTCAGTTCCTGCTGTCCACAGACAACTTGTTTCAATGCAAATTTGAACTCAAGTCCTCCTGACTCCAGGCCAGTGTTCTATCCACTGCGCCACCTATTTGCCCCTACATAAATTTTTAAACAAATTGAAAGCCCTGAACATTTTACATTAGAATGATTCTGAACTGCTTAGACTTTCCCCTGACATTGTCTAAGACAGGACTGTACAACCTGCTTGCTGCATGCCAAAAGATTTTGGGTGGCCCGAGAAAAATGTAGAAGAAAATGTAGAAGAATATCCTTTGTACATAGAGGAAATCCTTTGGCATGGTGCAGGCCGAAGGCTGTACAAGCCTGGTCAAAGATTTGAGTTGAGATGATTTGTCTGTTAGTTTATTGTTACAAATAAATAAGTGGTGAGCTGGCTGGCTAGACAAAGCAGTCTGATTTACTAACTCTCACGTGTATATAGTGCTTTACAAAGTGCTTTTGAATTCATTTTCTATGAGGTAAGTAGTTTGAGTGTCATCCCTATCTGGGGACCCAACTTTCTCCTCCCCTTGACAGTCTCTTATTAACCTTTCTGCCAATAAAACTTCCCCTTTTCTTTTCCAGAAACGCTATCCTTCCCCGTGGAACTCTGCATGTCCTCTCCACTCTAACCTATACGCCCACTCCCCACTTCCTGAGGGTGGGGTAGAAACCTCAGGTATCCTAAAGAAGGATTCCCTGGCCTTGCCATCTGCCCTGAAGCCAAACTCTCCTGCATATGTTGTCTTCCCCCATTAGAGTGTGAATTCCTTGAGAACAGGGGCTGTCTGCTTTTTCTATTTGTAACCTCAGTTCTTGGCCCTTAAATGCGTATTTATTTCATTTATCCCCATTTATAGATGAGAAAACAGGCTCAAAGAATCTAGGTGACTTGTTTACCTAGCTAGTTAGGAACAGATATCGTGTAGATGTCAATGGATATTAAATCACTTTTCAGAAGGAGACCTTCTGATATATATTAAATATTTGGATATTTAGTGCCTTTTGTCTTAACCTTTCCAGGTGTGTTTATCTGCAGTATCTTAGTGAATGCAATCAAACCCTGTGGACAGCCTGGTCAGTCAGTCAGAACCTGTTAAGGATGGAGTGAAGCCTGGATAGGAGATATGATCGGTCCTTTGGAAAGTACAGTAACTTTTAGATGAAACCTCTAGCAAATTACTACTCAAGTTCCATAATTCTCAAGGGCTGAGGGTATTTCAGCCACCTATCAAGATGCCTGGTGCCTAGGGATTTGCCTAAAGTGGGTTAGAGGGGCTTTGCCCAAGCTATCTGGCTCGAATTTTACCAAATTTATAACGATGATGAAATAATGTAACTGGTGCCTTTCCCCCCACTTCCATCCCCATTCCTCTCTACTTAAGTCCACTTTCACCGCCCAACTTATCTCATCCCTAGTAAGCCTTTTATTCACTACCCTTGCCCATGTGATTCTCCAGAATCCTACAATATTTTATAATTTGCACCGTTAATTGTACTGAGTTATAACTGCACAGTTTTTCCTCTTCTTTACAGTGCTGCTGACATAGGGCTACACACAGGGGAGTTGGGGATAGAAATGGAGTCAGTACATGCTTGTTGAATGATTAACTGACCCAGGGTCAATCTGTGACCCTCTCTCAGGTCCGAGAAGCTTCAGGGGTCTCTGGTGGGGAAGAAGTACTTAAAGCCCAGCAAGCAGCCCCTGGAGGAGCAGCCCCTACCATCTTCTCCCGGATCATTGACAAAAGCATTCCTGCTGACATCCTTTATGAAGACCAACAGGTAGGATGCCACTTAGCCCTGTAGCCACCTTCACAGAATCTCCATCACCTCGTTACTCCACATACACACACACACACACAACACTTCATTTTGCAATTACAGTCTATTTGATATATCCTTCCTCTACTCCCCAGTGTCTTGTCTTCCGAGATGTGGCCCCTCAGGCCCCAGTGCATCTTCTAGTCATTCCCAAGAAGCCTATTCCTCGGATCAGCCAGGCTGAAGAGCAGGACAAACAGGTGTTGGAGAGTATGGGGTCAGGAGGAAAAACTAGGAGGGGCAGGGTTTGGGCCAAGAGCTGCTTGATTATTAACTACAGACCAAGGAGCGCTGGCCCTAACTCTTTCTTCCATTTTGATTACCCTGTCCCAGCTCCTGGGCCACCTACTACTTGTGGCTGCACAGACAGCAAAAGCTGAGGGTCTAGGAGATGGATACCGGTTAGGTGAGTGATCCAAGTCCTGACCTCCAAACCTTTAAGATGTCTAATCACTAGCCCACACCTACCCCACCCGTATCACCTCTCAGTGCTAATCCTAACCCTTTCATTGCTCCCCTTGACCCAGACTCTCTAACCTGTGGCCCCCAGTACCTATGTACCTAATGTCCCTAACCCCAACCAATTTTAGTGATCAACGATGGGAAGCTGGGAGCCCAGACTGTGTATCACCTGCACCTGCACATACTCGGGGGCCGACAACTTCAGTGGCCACCAGGCTGACGCTGAACAGGATGAGGGGTTGTGGGAATCTGTGATTGTTAATAAACCTGGTGAGCCTTGACTTCTGATTCCATGTCTACCTTCAGCCATTTGAACAAAGCTTCTCTCACCCACACTTTGGAGATAGGGAAAGTAGAGCACCGGAAGGTAGATCATTTTTATCCCAATTTCTATCAGTGACTATCTCACCAAATGCCCAAGGGATACCTGGGATCTATGATGGAGTATGCTTGGGTTGAAGGGAAGAATCATAGAGTTAAGAGCTGGAAGGAACATTAGAGGTAATCTAGGTTCAACCCTTCATTTTATAAATGAGGAAACTGAGGCCCAGAGATTGAGACTTGTTCAGAATCACACATGTAGTGGTAATAGTAGCTCACATTTATGTCATGCTTTAAAGCTTACAGAACACCTTACATTATTTCATTTGATCCTCACAACCCTGTAAAGTGGGTGCTATAATATCTCCATTTTACAGATAAGGAAACTGAGGTTGACAATGATTAACCAAGGGTTACACAGAAAGTAAGTCTGAAATGGGATTTGAACTCAGGTCCTTTGACTCCAAGTTTGGCACCCATTCTACTCCATGTTACCTCTGACCTAGTGGGGGAAATATTCTTTGTTTACATTCCTTGACTGAAGGAACAGGATCACTGACAGAAGCCAGCATACCAGACTTTTCTATATTAAGATGATAATTCACTTTTCTGTAGTACCTTATGGTTTACAAAAGATTTTCTTCACAAGCAAGTGCCCTGTGAGATTGTCAAAAGGCATATCTCACTAGAAATAATAGAAAAGAGGAAGGTTTACACTTCTTTCTGGGGAGAAAGGACATGAACAGCTAAGGTGGGGCTGGAACACAGGTGATGAATTGCATTTTTCAATCCACTGAAAAGCTATTCTGTAAGACTTGGCACTGAGTATGTACTTTTGGATTTCTCTCCATCTGTATCCTATTTCCCAGTAGATATTAGCCATTATAAAAACTGGAGAACACAAAGGATATTTTACTTAAGAAGCAACAGAGAAAGAGATTCACAACCATAATAGCATTTTACATCTCACGTGTGTAGGAAAGACTATATTCCCTTGTGAAGCTATCTAATGTCAGTGCCAGCTGTGAAGTGAGGGGGCTGAGCTGTCCCTGGAGTGGCCCAGGCACCTTACGTACAGATGCTTAGCAAATGTTTAGTCTTGGCATGAATACATCATAGGCACAGAACTACCCAGACAACAAGGATCAAATGCTGAGCCAGTCAGAAGATATTGTTCTGACAGCATAATGGTAGCAAAAAAAAATCTGAGTCTACCTAGGCCATAGACTTGAAACCAAAGCATGAAGGAAAAAAAAAACCTCCAAGAGTTAGTGGAGTTTCAGTTTTGTGGAGAGCAGTTGCAGGGACACAGAGCTAAGATGAGAGCCTGCTGGGTGACCTCTGCATGCTTTAGTATGCTATGCCTAAAACTAGAGCAAGATGCTAGTGAGGGTCCATGGTACTGGAGACCGAACTGGTCAACATTTTATATCCATCCCCCTTCCCACTGCCACCACTCTAATCCAGGCCATTGTTACCACCCACCTGGACCAGAGCAGCAGTTTCGGGCCTGCAAACTCCGTCCTCTAATGCTATGCTCCTACCAGAATAACCTTTCTTACGTATCACTGATCATCACTGATCTTCAGGGACTCCCGTAAGTTCCTATTTTGACATTCAACAGTGTCAGTTTCCTGCATGTAGTGTTTGCTGAACGGTTCTACCAACTGTCTGGCACACCCTAGCCAGTACCAAAGGCAAGTTCAGCCCGCCGAACGGGGCAGCATCGACTGTCGATGCTGTCCTACGTGGTGACAGATGGGAGACTAGGGGCTGGTCTCTGGGAAGGAGGCCCCTGCTGCAATAGGATAGAGAAGACGTTCCCCGGCACTAGCGGGGCTTGCTTCCCTCCGCGTCCCGGCTGCAGCCTGGTCTCCGGCCGGAGCCGCGCCCGTGAGCGCCCCCGAGGCCCGCGGTCTGGGACGGGCGTTCGGAGCCTCGGCCGGCCAAGTCTCGCGAGGTCGCCGGACGTCTCCATGGCGACCCGCTAACATGCCGGGGAAGACGGAGGGCGGGGAGGATGCCGAGGCGGTTGAACGGAAGGGACCCCCGCTAACGACCTCGGCGGCCCAGGGCAAGGCTCCCGCTGAGGCCTCGGCGTTCACGGGAGAAGAGCCAATGGTCTCGTCCCAGAAGGGCCCAGAGGGCAGCGCCGACTCCAGCTTCGCAGTGGAACCGGCGCGGGTTTGCGGCGGCTTCCTAGCGCAGCCCCGCCTGCCCCCCATGCACTGCTGCTACTGGGAGCCTAACGTCCAGGAGCAGCGCCCCTGGAAGGCACTGCAAGTCCCCGAGCCCGGCGCCCCGGGGCTGCCCTGGGTCCCGGAGTCCCGGGCGCCCCGGGAACTGCTGCCGCGGGGCCAGTGCCTCATCCATAACTGGGTGGAAGAGGTAGTGCGGGGGCGGGGGCGGGGGCTCTGCCCACCCACGGGGATCCGTGGGGGGGCTTTGGAGTCACTGTGAGCTTTGGGTCCCACAGAGAGCCACCAACGAGCTGGACCGGGTCCTAAATCATGAGGAAAGCGAAGGTTTCCGCTACCGACACGGACACTTGGGACTGCTGACCCTAGAGCTAGCCTCCCCCCGGGCCTTCAGGACCACCCAGAAGGATTCCTACCAGCACCCAGGGAATCCTCGGAAAGCCCTCCGAGGTACACACGAAGGCTAACGAGACAAAACCTTAGGAAGGGGTAGCAGAGGGCGATAATGAAGTATGCAACTGAAAGGCAAGTTGCTCCTCCCCATCCCTCACACCTTGGTCTGGTACCCACTGACCCGTGCCTCCCCTCCTGTCCATCCTTCCCCTAGGGAAGAGAGAAGCCATGTTGGAGCTGCTTCTGCACCACCAGATCCGGTGAGGGATAGATGGGGGGGGGGAAGGAGTTGGGGAGGAATTGGGTGAGGAGAGACAAGGTGGGGATAAGGGGGGGAAATGTCCCTTAACTCCGGGATTATGCAGGAAGGAAGTGGACCAGGAGTTGAGTCCACCAAAGTATTCCAATTATGAGTCTGTAACACACCATGATTATCAGAGGGAGCTGGATCGACCTGGGCCACCACCTCCCACCAAGGTGAGAACATCACCTTCCAGTAAAGAAGGTCCTCAATAGATTGGTGGGAGGAGACTTTTGGGCTATTTTCTGAACCCTTTGGGAAGGCAAGGGAAGGAAAGGTCACACAAGAAAATTAGGGGAGATTAAATACTCCTTCCCCCATCCCCATGGACTCTCAACTCCTTTTCCCCATACAGCCTCACAGTCTGCAGGAGCAGCCAGAGACCTATTGGCTACAAAAGGCATCAAAGCTTCCGGTGTGTTACCTTCCTGGGGGAGGTAGGGGCAGGCAGATCATGTTGCTGAAGTTTGGAGAGAGGTGGTGAACAGAAACGTGGTTGGGTAGGCTGGTGGGAAGAGGTCTTATCCTAACTTGGAGAATTTTTCAGGGTGTCAGCAATATTCGGACATATGATACCCCATTTCGAAAAAACTGTAGTTTCTCAACACCTGTTCCTCTGTCCATGGACCAGCCCTTACCCTACAGCCCTGAGAACTACCCTCGACTTTGAAGGGGAAATGGTAGGAGAAATGCAGATTGGATAATGGGATAAAGGAAATAAATCATACAAATGGGTATTATTCCTTGTCCTGAGACTGCCTAATTGGATAAAGGAGGGAGAGGTGCCATGACCTTGCTCACCCCTTTTCTTAGGGGTTTCATTTATGATTGTGAATCCATGGCTGGTTTTGTAATTTTGTATTTGACCAAAATATTCTGGTTTAGATACAGATATTTACAAGGGTGGGAGAATATGTACAAGCCCCAGAGTCAGATGCCCCAGGGCAAATAGTAAGTGCACACACGGTGCTCTGTGATAGTGTCCCATATGGCTAGTGAATAATAAAGATCATGGCCACAGATCCTTGGGGGCTGGCAGAAGAGGGGGAGGAAGGCATTTCGGGTCACAGCAGTCCAGATGGTACTTTTCGCTCTCCCAAGAGCCAGTATGTCCGCATCTTTCCCTTTCCCTGGGATGGTAGAAAATCAAAGCACCCCCCCCAACCCCACCCACATCAGTGCTTTGTTCTATTAGCTCCAGTCCTCTTCTTCCCCTCTCCCCACTTTACAGGTACCCATTTATCCCCTTTCTCCTCACCCCATTACCAACCCCTTCATCCCCTTTCCTCCCAATACCACCCAGCCCCCAATTACCTTCATCTCTACATCTCCTCTAAGCTCCAGCTGAAAGCAGCCAAATTCATCCAGGGCATCCTTTGTTGTGGATGAGACATGGATCTTCAAGGCTAAGAAGCCAAGAAAGGTCAGAGAAGGGCTGACCAAGGTTGGGGATGGGAAGGGGAAGAAATGAAACTGTGGGTCCCTCCCTCATCTCCTCCCACCCACTTGAGACAAAACAGTAGGGGGTGGGAGGAAGTGAAGAAGTCTTACATTGAAGAGCCCTGTAGGGTGATAAGAGCATTTCATAACTGTCTCAAGGGCAAAGAAGATCTGGGGGATAAATCTCACCTTGACCATTGGACTCCATACGTGAGGCAGTGTTCACTGTGTCACCAAACAGGCAATATCGGGGCATTTTTAAGCCAACAACTCCAGCACAGACTGGCCCTATAGGGAAGGGCAAGTTGGAGAGATCCTATAGCCATTTGGGGACAGGGGTCAGGAGCCAGAGCTAATCTTACCAGTATGTACACCAATTCGCAGTCGTAGCTGATCATGAGGCCGATGCCGAATTCGGAAGGAAGCAACAGCATCCAATAGTGCCAGGGCCATACGGGCAATCTCAGGGGCATGGCGCTGACCATTACGCCCGGGGAGACCAGATACAACCATGTAGGCATCACCAATAGTCTCCACCTATAAAGGAAAATATCAAGGTCAGATGGTCAGTGCCAAGGAAACACAGGCATTTCCATTTGTGTGTTTGGCCTAAGATGGCAGATAGAGGGGGGCAAAGGGGACAGAGAGAGAGACAGAGGAAAGGATAGGAGGAAGAGGGACAGGGGTGACAAAGAGACTAAGGACCAGATATAGTTTTACTCATCTGGTCTTTAATGTTTGAGACCCAGACTGAGGAACTGAAAAGTTCTCACACAGTAGAAATTAATTGCCTTCCCTTCGACTATAAGTTTGAAGCTACCATATAACAACAACATAACCATGTCCTATCTGCAGCTAGGAACTGCAAATGGAAAATGGAGTAAAACAATAAATTACAGAGCAGCAGAATCCTAGCAGTTTTTGTGGACAAGGGCATTATGGCAGACAACAGAGGTGAGGCAGGGACACCCAGGAATTTTAAAAAGTTGCTCACAGCCACAGAGTTTCAGGCTGCAGTAAGGGTCTATGGAATAGAAATTCAATTTCTGCCAACAGAGGGACTTGAATAGAAAATTTTATTTTAAAATACTTTTTATTCAAAAATTCTCAACCAGTTCTTTTCCCTAAATTCCTTTATCAGTCCAAGACCTATACAGTTTCCAATAATTAAAAAGACAGGCTTAGAGCAGCTAGTAGTCCCAGTAGTGGTGAGTTCCCAGAGAATCAAATTAGGGGCCTGGGAATACATATATATGTATATATGTATGTATGTATGTATGTATGTATGTATGTATGTCCCCAGATCCACATTTTAACACAGGGGCTGGGGTTCAGAAGCCCCAGGTAATCCTGGTTTCAGGGTTTCAGGAAACCAGATCCTGGTTTGGGGGGAGGGGTGCTAACCCTGGTTCCCACCTTGTACACATCAAAGTTGTCAATGATGGCATCGAAGCAGGTGTATAGGTCATTCAGGAGTGTCACCACCTGATGTAGGATAGGGAGATTCTGAGATTCAAGTTCCTGACCTCCACAAAGGTTATGACTTTACCCCAAGGTACTCTAATCCCTCCCAAAGATATATAATCCTGACATCAATGGAACCTAATACCGCTCCCAAACTCCCTTAAGTCCAAGTATTCCAAGTCCCCACCAGAGAGACCTCAAGCCTCTCCAGAGACTCAAAAGCCCCTCTATCCTATGGTTTACCAAAGTCTCTCACCTGCATAGGGGTGCTCTCTGCTGAAAGGGCTGTGAAGCCCACGATGTCACTGAAGTAAATGGTGACATTGTCAAAGGCCTCAGCCTGTACAGTCTCCCCTCGTTTCAGCTGCTCAGCCACTGAGCTGGGAAGGGGGGGAAGGGATGAATGTGTCTGTGTATCTTTGTGTGGCAGTAGAAAGACGGTGCTACCACTGGAAGCAGGGCTTGAGAGCATGTAGAGGACTTGAAAGAGCTTACTCTCTTAGGAGAAGCACAGCTGTAACTGGTGGGGGTGAGGAAGGAGCTTACTGGAGCAAGCAGGAAGGGGAAGGTGAATCCTAGGTAGAAGGTTCCCTTGGGAAGGGGGGCCTGAGGTAGGTGTCTTAGATAACAGAGAAGAGCCCCTAGGGGTTGGAGGAGAGAAAGAGGGATTCTCAAAGAGCTCACTGTGGCAGAATCTGGTAAAGGAGTGCCTCAGCCTTGCGCTTCTCCTCCAAATATGCCTGTGTCCGCTCCTCTACCAACTTCTCCAGATTGTTTGCATACTGCTCCATTCGAAGCAGAAGGTTGTCTAGGATGCTGGTACCACCTTCCCTATAGGAGGAAAGGGAGCTTTATTTGGTGAACTTCCCCCAAAAAAACACTTACCACACACACACAACCTGTACCTCTCTTTGAGCCTCCACTTAAGTCCTTCAACCCCTCCAAAGCAACCAGGACTCAGCTTCACTCACTCTCAGGGAAACCCTATATGCCTCTGATGCCCTCTCACTTGTTGAAACGTCGGATGAAGCCCTTGATCTGTCCAAAGTCTGGTCGCTCAGCTGGATCCTGGGCCCAGCATCTCTCCATCAGCAAAGCTAGCTCCTCACTGAGCTGTGCTCGGTCAATACTTGGCCGAAAGTATGGCCGCTGACCATTGCGGACCTTTTGGATAATCTCTGGGGATGTAGAGAGCAAAAGGAGGTGAAGAGGGGGAACCCAGAAAATTATAATGCTCACCTTAGGAATCATGGTCTAGCACCTTCCATTGAAAAGGGCAAGGAGTTGGGGCAGCTCGATGGCACAGTGGATAGAGCACTGGCCCTGGAGTCAGGAGGACCTGAGTTCAAATCTGGCCTCAGACACTGACTAGCTATGTGACCCTGGGCAAGTCACTTAACCCCGATTGCTTCCCCAAAAAAAGGGGTGGGGCAAGGAGAGAACTCACCCTTGGGACTGAGGTCTAGGCCTTCTACATAGAAAGGGCCACTTCGAAGTGCTATCTCCTGCAGAATGATCCCAAAGCTGTAAACATCAGCCTTCTGGAGGCCCACAGTCAGCAAGTGGCTGCCATTCAACAACTCTGGAGCTGTCCACAACTTCTCTGAAAAGTAGAAACGGGCTGATCTAAGCTATGAAGTGGGACAGCACCCAGGTCTTCACAGCGACTCAAACCCAGAACATTCCAACTCACCAAGGCCCCAAGATGGGAAAAAGCCCCATATCCCTGTCCCATCTTGGAGCAACCCATTCTTCTCATCCCACCCTAACCCAAATGGAGACAAGCAGAACCAGAGGAGATGAAAAGAAGGTAGCTTTAGGATGGTGGGGCCTCACTGGCATAGAGCGCGTGACTGTCATCCGGTTCAGCGGCTGACCGGAAGCTGGCCAGGCCATAGTCAGTGATCTTGAGCACGAACCGGCTATCTACCACACAATTGGAGGATTTGAGGCTCCCGTGGGAAGCAATGATGCTGTTGTGGAGAAAGGCCATGCCCTGCAGGATACAAACCAAGTCACTGGGGCCAAGAAAGAAAGGGGAGGTCTGTGATGAAATGCCACCCCCTTTCCCTGGTAGAAGTAACTATTACTTCCAATGTATGTTTTAAGGATCTTGTACTATGAAAATTAAAAGACCTGATTTTAGAAGACTATCCCTTCTCTGGAGAAACACCAACAGATTACACCTAAGTGGGAGAATCAATTATGCTGAAAGTCAAAAGCAGTGCCCAAGCAGTAATTAGCCAGATCAACTGATGGGTCAAGGGGAGTCTGTGATTTGTGGATTAGAAATTAGTCATCTTTCTGGTGATTAAAAGAACAGAAGCCAAGTGGGAGAACTCCTGGTAAAGTATATGAAAGTGACAGGACAATATGATATAAACTATAGGACTCCATTGTTTGTCCTTTGTTTTAAAGAGGACCAGTAACATCATGGGGTGATATCTTGACTTGAGCATGAACTGGACTTAAGTGAGACAGTTGCACTCTTTCTTCCACAGTCATCAAAGTCCAGTGTGGCAGGACAAAAGTCAGGATGAACTGGCAATAGCTCAGGATTCAGTGGATGAACTTGGTGTCTCCGATATCTGACCAAGTTCTAAGCACTCCACAGCCACCTTTATGGCCTTTGGAACAAAAAACTGTGCTCACCTGCCCATTCTGCCGGGGGGGGGGGGGCGACTTCACATGCTTGGGGTATTCACCCACCTAACTCACCAACAGCTTTGAGGACTGTTGGTTACCCTCAACCTGGTTTAGCCTGTCTGCTTAGAAGGTTTTACCAGGCAGTGGCTGGTGCATATGCTCCAGCTTCTTAGAGCCACAAGTGAAAAGT